TATCAGCAGTTATGAGAAGAAACAAGTATGAGCAGGAAGTTTGTTAATGCAATTCAGATTCCTGAATCTTAAACCCCAAACACCGCATTATATTTTCCAAACCTCTCAAAACCTTTATTAGCGCATATGGAGTCTACAGAGTCTCTCAACAATAGATTCCTTTGTACTTTCCTAGCATGAGGAAGCATCTGGATGAAATGTGAGTAACAGAAATGCACACAGGTGTAACGCTAAGTTTGGAGCTCACGCAGAGTTCTGCTCTTTTAGATACGGGCTTAATGAAGCGAAGATTAAAATTAGTAAACAAAGCGTAAGTTCAGGAAGGAGGCTCAGGATAAGGGAAATACTCATGTCTTTAAATGATTCCTCCTAAGTTTTTCCCTGTTCTGAAGACTTCTATGGAATTTAAAAAAACATAGAAAAAAAGCTATGCGTGTCAGTAATATGTGTATGATAAATTTCAACTCAGCGAGGATAAATAGGATTAAACCCAAAACTAAACAGTCAAGCAACCACGCTCACCTCTTTTGGAGCCCATACTAGTGTTCAGTCTGTATAAATAACCTCTGCAAGGTAGCCGTCACGAATTCCTGACAGCCAATTTCTTAGCCTAAAGATCAACACGGTTAATGGTAACATAAAGACAACAGTCTAGTGCAAGTATTAGCTTTGAAGGACTTTGAAGGGTTCAACAAATTCCTGTAATATGTAACAGTGTTAAGCAAGAAATAAATGAGTCAATACAACAGAACGGTACATCTCCAGAGAACAAAAGGTAAAGCAGAGGGCAGCTGGTTTAAAACAGTAAAATAATGTATTTCGATGAACCTTTTAGAAGACAAACTCAGCTTTTTATTATTCAATTTAGAGAGAAGCAAACGGAAACTCCCTCTCCCAACTCTGTCCAACATAAAATGGTTTTGATTTTCTTTTGCTTAATCTCCTACATTTTTTTGGCCCAGCTAGCTGAGGCAGGAAAAAACTTTTCATGTAAACAGTAGAGAGCTGGCAAAAAATTACTTTGTGGAGAAACATCAAATTTGCAATCTTCATGCTGAAAGAATAGAAGCCAATGGAA